GAGGTAAAAACAATCGTTTTCTCACCAGCCTCACTTTTTTCACTCTCTTGAAGTTTATAAGACAAAAAGACGCAGCTTGTCATGTTCCCAAGAAACCACAAAGTGCAAATTCCTGTCCTGAAGTCTTTCCCATGGCATAAATCTGACATAAAGTTAGAGCTGACACTAGAGACTCCTTCTGTAAATGTTAAATAAGCATCTTCTTACAGAAGGCTTTGTCATATCAATGACTGATGAAGTTTTTTTTTTGTTAAATAACAGCATATTTTGAGTCCGTTTATTGTTAGTCTTAGATTATGTTTAATGTCCCCGTGAATGAGCTGTTACTATAGAAACGATCATGTATTAGAACCAGCATATTAATTTAAACCTGTGATTTGCTTTGCAACCAGAATTAGTGTCAGAGGTGCTGTTATAGAAAATTAATCAACACCTACTGAGCAATCAGAATCAAAATTTCAACATGGCTGTGGTATAAAATAATATTAATATCCAGAACTCCATGCACTTGGAAAGCAATGACTCAAAAAAAATTCCATTTATATCAACTTATATATAGACACAGACGTAACAGTTGGACCCTGATTTTATCATTACTATCATTTTCATTCAAGCACTAATAAACTGGAAAACATTAATACTATTATTATTTGTTTTTATAAGTTTTTTTTAAACCAGAAATAATAATTTATGCATAAGTATATACAAAAGTCAGATTAAGATATTTCAGCACTGTGGATTATAAGCACACATATAAATCTGTGAGTGGAAAAGCAATCAATCTATGATATAAAAACTAGATAAGAGTAAGATGGACTAAAACTGAAATGGAATAAGATGCTCATGGGTGGAGAAAGAATAAAAAAGAAAGGGATTGGCATTTTTTGGAGTCAGATAAGACGAGTGCAGTGAAAGGAAAAACTATCCAAACACAGATTCCTGCTGTGCTCTGGGAAGAGCATGAGAACATATCAATCTCTCTCTCTTCCCTCCCTCTCTCACTAACTTTCCTTTCTCTTACTCTCACTCTCTCTTTCTAACATGCTCTCTCTCTCTCTCTCTCATGCTATTTGAGGGATTTTGCAGGGTCCATCTTTTCAGCTACGCAAATAAACCTTGCTTTCATATCGCTTTAATAACTCCACAGAGAATCCTGAATTTTACCTTGACCTGCATGCCAGAGGTCAAAGGTCAAAGCATGTGTGGCAACAACAGGTGTGACAAGAGTCAGATTTTTTGATATATGGCCACTCTCTTACTCTCTCTCTCTCTCTCTCTCACACACACACACACACACAAAACTTGTTGCTTTTTCCTACAAAAGTAAACAGACCATCTCCGGGAACGGCAGCTCTCCGAGGACGCCCTTCCACACAATTCCCAGGATATCTGTCAGGAAGGTTTCTCAAAACACACACACACACACACTTGTTTCACACTGAAACTGTACTGACTGTACTCACAGATACAAACAAAATCTTGTTTCACAAACCGACCTGGACCAACTGACACACACATGCATGCACACACACACACACACACACACACAAACAGCCATTTGTTGCAGTCATACAGCAGCTGTCTGAGGGAGTATGAATTCACACACTCACATTCTTCACACACCCCATGCCCAATGCCAAGGACACTACAATGTGTGTGTGTGTATGTGTGTGTGTTTTCATTCTTGAATAATTATGTCTCGATGTCATTGAGAATAAGAAAATTATATCCAGATAGATAACTGCTCCTTAAAACAGCTTAAAAATAAAAAAATAGAAAACACCTGAAGACATTCACAGAGTTCAATTAAAGCTAAATGTTCAGAGCTGAGTTCCCTAAAAGCACAGGTCAGCTGAGGCACTCATTAAATGGTAGAGCGAGCATCACAATGAACACTCTCTCTCCCAATTAAAATTATCTTTAAATTTTATGATTTTGAGAAACTGGGCCCTGATCTTCCACAATACGCATCACACATCATCAAATATGAATTGTAACTTTCAGTCCAATCTACTCCCTGGTTAATCTTCTAATTGGCTTGCTTGATATAACGACTTTATCGTCCCTACGTGATATATTACACTGCCGCGATATCCAGTGAAGTTTAAGTCGATTATATTATATTACCAGACCTGCCAAGCTTTACGCACGTTGCGTAGGAGCTAGTTTGAGTCCTGATTCCAAAGTACGCTAGTACACTAGTTCATTAATGTGAAATAAAATCTGTCAGTGTATGTTCGACTTAACTAAGATTAGACAAGAACACCAGTTCACTATATTTATTAGGGATGCTATCAAATATTTCATGCAAAAAATTGTCAAAGATGGCACTTTCAGGTTTTGGCAATAAGATAAAAAAAAATGGAGGAAGTTTTTGACCCAAAAACATTAAACAAGGCTGCAACAAAGTGTCAAATTTAAGACTTACGTTATAGAAATAACGTTAATGGTGATGATGATTAAAAAGTAATTAAATGTGCTGGTTTTTTTTTTTGGACTGGCGCTCTGTCCTTCTCATGTTCATGCTTTGAGAAGAATCAACAGTGAAAATGTTAGGCATATGGACTGATCTGAAAAAGGACTATACTGAAATGTACTGTCATGTTTTTTTTTTATTCTGTATTGCGCTTTACTGCAGAATCACCTAAAAATCCACCATGGTGGATTGGAGTGTTCACGATTGCTGCAGTTGCCGCAGTTCCTGACCTCACAGATGCTAATATTAATACACACTCCTGTACTCTCCTTCAGTCTGAAATGGTGGAAATGCTCGTTTTCCTGTCTTTTTTAAGTCTATTGTTTCTGGATGATTAAATTGTTTATCACGACTTTTAAAATGGAGAAGCGTGAGCAGGAAAGAATTAATGTCACACATCTGATATCTGAGTGCATCCCTGGAAATGCTTATTGACTGAGATGCAATGAATGAAATCAGGATGAACAAAAAAGTTGAACAAGGACTCAACAGACTCCCCCTCATCCAGCGAACAGTCAGCTGGCTACACCAAAAAGCAGCAGAAGTCTGGCTGAATGCGAAGGATAATTATTATATGTTTGAAGTTATACATAAATTGACACAAAAATGCCACCCCAAAAATGATTGTTTTAGTGATTTAATACTCTTATACCACAACACATTGCTAACGATTTTATACTAATGATTTAATGATATGTCTGCGCTTGAATGTTTATGTTAGATGGTATTTGTTTGTTAGCATTAGCCTCTAACGTGTTATTTAAAGGAGTCCTAGGGGTCAAAAGTGAGCTTACCATTTCAGTCCCACACAGACACACACTTTATTATCTGTTACATGTTTTTTCACTCCTTCGCAATTTATCTTCTTGTCTGCCACCTCCCCTGCTTGTCCTCCCCCTCGCCAGTCCCCATGCAGGCGCGCGTAATTAGCTCTAAACACAGAGGCCCTCTCGTCCACATCTGGAAGAGGTTTGGGCATGGCAGTTTCCTACCAGCACGGCTAAATATTTAGATTCAGCCTCGCTGTGTATGGCTGAACTCAGAAGGAAGGGGGGAGAAGGGGAGAACTAAAAGGAAGAGTGAGAGTGTGCGTGAAGGACAGAACGACTGAAAATATTCTTTTTTTTGTCGCAATGATGCCAAACGGCTTGCATATGCAGGTTTGATGTTTATTGGAAGTTTGAGCTGTGATGGAAAACTTGGGCTGCTGTGAAAGCTGAAACTCCAGACACATAAGAACACACAAACACACACAGTCTAAAATTCAACCAGAGGTGAGGATGCAAGGCCACAGTATTTAGTGCTTCATCTCTTGACGAAACCGCAAACTACAACCTGTATCCAGCTAAACTGAGCCCATTAAAATCAGACATACAGAAGTCAGATGCAGGATCTGTGACTGGAGAAGGAATGAGAAGGAGAATGGGAGTGGAAGGATATGGGGCAGGACAGATTAACCCCTTCTTACTCACACACTAGCAAATAATAGACAACCACTGATTGGCTTCATTCATACTTACATTCATAGGAATGCACCAAACCCGCTTTTTTCCATTTTCAAGCAATACCAATATAAGCTTTGGGTACTGGCCGATATCCAACATTGACATCCTCTTATTAACCAAGCCAACTCTCTCCAAGCTTTAGCTGTGATGTTACAGGAAAATATTCAACAATAGGGTGGGTTGATGAAGTTGATTATTTTCCAATAATAACACGTCCTTAAGAGTTTTATTTCTCTTTTACCACAGAAATCTGTCAACATGCACATCATACTTTTGATTCATTTAAAGTTAAGTTTAATGATGTGAAACGTCTAAGAAATAAGTTAGTTCTTGTTATCACTTAAAAAGTTGTTCCCTCACTTTCTCTTGAAGTTAATAAGACACTTAATTTAAAGTTAAGTTGAAGTTTTAAAAAAAACACAGTCGAGAAACTGCAAAGCACAGTCCTCTGTCCTGAAGACTTTCCCATGGAGGAAAACTAACTGACTGTTACATTACACGGTTTTCTTTGTTAAATAACAACATCTTTTTTCAGAGTTCTGTGGTATAATGCAAAATATCAGAGGTGAGATGCTAGAATGATTTGTCATGGATCTGTGGTGAGTCAATCATCATAACACATTCATGGAATAAATTAAGTCAGTGGATCAGATCTGAAAATGTCAAATCCAATCCAATAAAGCATTTTTTGGTTTGATGCAAAAAATTGTAAGAAACCACTGTTATCACCTTTTCCTGGATCATAGTACAACAATAAAATACGGGTAGTTCAATGATGTATATAAATCAAACCGCATACTGTGTATGTTACTTATCGCAAACTAAAAACATGCATAGGCCACACCCACAGGCGATGTCGGGAGCAGCTGTTACATATCCATGAGAGAAAAACCTGGAGAGAAACTTGCCAGTGTGAACTACTGTGACATATCAAGATGCTTTCTGCGGTGTCCTCATCAAACTACCGAAGAAATTTATATACTATAGTTTTTCTTTATTATAATTTTAACCAAAGAGGGTCACTGGAGGACTAGTGGTTAGGCCTCGGTGTTCTCACCACCACGGCCCGGGATCTATTCCCGGCCCGGGAACCAACCCTAGCCACTGGGGTTGCATAAGACAGTGCACTTCCGCTGCCGGTCCCAAGCCCGGATAAAATTGGGGAGGGTTGCGTCAGGAAGGGCATCCGGCATAAAAACTGTGCCAAATCAAATATATGCGGACCAATGATCCGCTGTGGCGACCCCTAACGAGAGCAGCCGAAAGAAGAACAACATAATTTTAACCAAAGAAATTGATTTTGAATCATGTGTTCATAATGACTGTATTCATTACATTTAATTGCACTGTTTGTTGACCAGGACACCACTTTTAGTCTCAATAGGACAAATATATAAAATAAAATAAAAAAACTGTACAAAAGGAAGTGTAGATGGAGTGTTTAAATGGATGAATAGTACAGAAAAATGTGCCCAATGTAACCATGATTCTATATAGTGTTACATTCATTCATAGGCCAGTCCTATAAGTAGAGAAAGCCCTTTGCCTAATCTTTACTCAGAGCTTGATCTTGGTGTTATCTAACTACTATCACGTGAGGAATGCCAGATGTTGGCTTGGTGACCTACAGCTGCTCAGAGAGATAACCCTCAGGCCTAAACTACTGACCCCAAATCTCACAGCCCCGATCCTCCTGTCCTGAAAAACTTCGATCCTACAACACAGTCCATGTGGAAACACTTAACCTCAATCGGCTGTGAGTTAAATATGCAGGAACATTCTGGACAGTACTACATTAAACAGTCACCTGTTGACCTGCTCCTGTGTGCACGCTGTGTGTGAAGAGGAGCCAGATGAATATAATGGGTGTGGCCCAAATGCTTACAATTGATACAGTACGTCTTACAAAATGTAAAAGAATACAAGGTTTGGATCGGAGTACATAGATACTATGTGTTACATGAAGAGAACCACTAATTCAGTTTGTGCTAGCTTAGATCTCTTAAGGCATATGGATGCTAAGCAAATATGACTGCTAGCATCACGTTCTAAGTAATTTAGCTACTATTTACACTTTATTTCACTACATAATCATTTGAATGATACATTTGTAAACCAATAGACATTTCTCAGTGTCAAAACTGATACACCTGTGCAGCGCGCTACAGGAAATCAGACAGTATAAACACTCGCAAAGAACAACTCAAATAGTTTTATTAGAACATTTATTATTAAAGAATTTATAAAGCCTTGTAAAATCAACATTCTACTAAGCACACTAGATTTATCATAGTATTACTCGCCCAGTCTTTCCTTTTAAGTTTAAGATTGAGCAAAAAAATAAAAACACCTGAAGACCGGTAACGTTAAATTAAAGCTAAACATTCAAGTTCCATGAAAGCAATGCAGAACAAACCTCATCGTTAGATGTTAGAGTGACCATCACTAAGAACACTCACTCTATCACCTAAAACCTGCAGTACTGCATAGCCGTGCTGAATCGGGCAAGCTTCTCAGCCATGGAAGCAAGCATATGAACAGGGGTATGTGACTGATGCTAGAAACGGTGCAGACCACTGAATGGTACAGCAAAGCTGTCACCATGAGTCACGCCAAATCCCATAATACCATATTAAATAGAACGTTAAAAATAGAATGCCATAATTTGTACTGCAATTCATACAATTTTACACTGATCTTATTGTGCAAAGATAAAAGATACCCTGACACAGGTAGTCCACCAGGGTGTGAAGAGTTGTAACTGTAGTAACTGTAGCTACTGTACTGTTAAATGGAAAAGTTCTGTAAATCTATATACCTTCACTAAATTTACAATGTTACCATTTACTTCCTGGCAAAAAAAAATTCACGCTAGACTTGTGATTGACCTCCATTGCTAAATAGGCGTGTTACACCATTGTCTGCATTACCCACAAGTCCAAGTGCCAGTTGCCCCAGTACCCTGACCTCATCCACTGACATTCCAGTCCAGCTGACAAGTGAGAACACAGCATGAAGGAGAGAGAGAGAGAGAGAGAGAGAGAGATAGAAAAATGATGTATCCGAAGCTGCACCTGGGATAGTGTCTAGAAATGCCTAAGGAATGTCAGGAAAAACAGAAACATCAACATCACGCCAAACATTCCACATCTGGAGCAGAACCTCAGCACGTCACTAAATCTAGAAGGACAAGAGTGTGAAAAACACTTCCCTTGGAGTGTCAGATACAAAACAAGTTAAATGTGTTCTCATTACCTTAATATCCATTTGCATTTACTCTATCTAATGTTGTATTCCAAAGCACTACACAGCATGCTATATGGCAATTTTGGTAAATGTTCTCCTTTCTCTCAGTGGGGAGCTTTGAAGGCTGGAAGTGTTTACCTCTAACCCACGCAAGCCCCATAAATGTGTCACAGTGTGCTTTGCACGTGTTCAGAAAACAAATAAATGGCATTAAGAGGTGCTGCTGCCTGCACCCATGTTGCCTCTGAACTCTTCCTTCCATCGTACTCTACCTGGGCTCGCTCTGTCCCCCTTTTCCCTTTATTTTGAATCCACTTCCTCTACGTTTTGGCGGCCCAATGTGTTGAGCAGATGTGAGTGGTTATTAAGCAGAACCACTACGCTCCATAAACGCGCTGCCCTCTGCCTCCTCCTCTGGGGAACCAATCTATTGGCTTTTCTCTCCTCTGCCTGAGCCGCTTTTTGCCATTTTTCCAATGTTTTCCTTTTTACGACACTCATGTGAAAGCGAGCGCCGCTCCCGCTGAGGAGGGGAGCACTGGGGTATTGTGGGAAGATGGAGGATGGCAGGGAGGCATGGGGGTTTAAAATGGTATAGGGTGTTAATGTCAAACACATGAACAATCCCAGTTTTTATGTTTTAATGCATACATTTTCTGGCCCAGTGGAGATGTGGTTTCCCCAACCAGAACGGAACTGAAGTGATTTTGCACAGTTTCCGTGACATGCTGAAATAACAAAAAAAAAAGTTCCTGAATGTCAGAAACAGACGAAGATATGCAAACAGCAAAATCTGAACCAAATCAAATATTTTGACTCCTGCACAGGCTTCCTTCCTCCCAGACTGGAATTAAGTGCATGTTTTGCCCATTAATGATAGCGTGTAAATAGAGAAGTGGTCAGAGTTTCAATCATAACCCATAAATGCTTGTATTTACTTAAGAGTGAAACAAAAGAAATCACATATCAGGCCAGTGCGTCTGGTCAGCCTTCCTTCCTGAAAAGAGGGCACTGGAGATAGGCCTGTTAAAAACAGAATGCAGCATCATAGCAATGGGAAAGGAAGGCAGCCATTAAAACAGGAGAGAGAGAGAGAGAGAGAGAGAGAGAGAGAGAGGGAGAGAGAGGAGCAGAAATGTGTTTCTGTTTAGCCCCCTTCAGTATAGCCAAGTCAGCTGAAGACTGGAGAGGGGGCAGAATGTGTGTATGTGTGTGTGAAGGGGGTGGGTTTTTAGGGTGTGGGAGGGGTGCTGACCAGGGGCACATTTCCTTTCTCTCCACACTGAAACACAGATGGAAAATGACAGAGCTGTGATACAGAGACTTCATTCTCCGCTTCCGAAGCGCTGCAGTTCACAGCCTGAAATAAGTTCCCCAATCAAACCCAACCTGAAAGCCCCATTCTATATCCTCTACCAGTGCCAGGACAGGGGCTAAATCCTTCAACAAGAACCATGGTATTGTGTTGACATGCTGTTCAACACATGTCCACAGGCTATAATCCAAGATATAAAAACCCTACAGGCTCTGGTTACAACTCAGACAGGGACACTGACTATTAGGTAGATAGTATCAAAGTAGCAAATCATGTAAGTACTGTAAGGCTAGTTCTTAATCAGTAGATATATCTGATACTAGACTGCCAAAACAGGTCATCCACACTGTTATTCTGGTGACACACTCATCCATAAACTGCACAGTGACTCATACGTAAAGGCGTTATATCATTGAGTCAACGTTGATGTACTTGCCAATAAAATATAATGTGATACAGGCTATTATTAATAGAATTCCATTATTGGTAGTACCTGTCACTTGATTGTGGGGGTGTAGATCTTGGTAGTTGTAGAGTTGTGAGTTGTTGTTTGTGGTGTTGGCATTATCTTTGGTGGCTGAAGAGTTGGTGGTGGTGGTGGTTGTGGATTTTTTTTTGTTGGTATCTTTAGCAGTTTAGAATTGTTGGTGTTGGTGGTAATGCTGGTATATTTGGTTGTTGTATAGTTGTTACTGGTGGAGATGCTGGTATTGTTGGTATCTATGATAGTTATAGAGTTCTTGGTGGTGCTGGTAATATTGTTGGTATATTTGGTGATGGTAGGATTGTTGTGAGTGGTGGTAATGTTGGTGTCTTTGACAGTTACAGAGTTCTTGGTGGTGCTGGTAATATTATTGGTATCTTTGGTGGTTGTAGAGCTGTTGTTGGTGGTGATGGTGGTAGTAGTGAAACAAGTGTTGTTTTGGGTGGTTGTGGAAGTGCTGTCAATATTCATAGTGGTGCTGCTGGTAGTATTTGTGGTAGCAGTGAAAGCAGTGTTGTTTTGGGTGATGGTGGTGGTGGTAGTGGTCGCACTGTCAGTGGTCACAGTGGTGCTATTGGTAGTGCAGTTGGTGGTGGTACCAGTGAAAGCAGTGTTGTTTTGGGTGATGGTGGTGGTGGTAGTGCTCGCAGTGGT